CTGTTTTTATTGATTTCAGAGAGGAAGGGAGAGGTAGATAGAGTTAGAAACCACAGTGAGGAGAGAGAATCACCAATTGGCTGCCTCCTGCATGCTCCTTACTGGGGATAGAGCATGTGCCCTTGACTGGAATCAAACCCAGGACCCTTCAGTTCACAGGCTGACGCTCTATCTACTGAGCCAAACCAGCTGGGGCTAGGTCCGTATGTTTATTAGGTATTATTTTCATTCTGTCTGAAGGATGTCCTTTAACATTTTTTGTGGTGAGAGTCTACTGGTGATTTTTTTTTTTTTTCCATTTTAGTAACTTTGCAAAGTCTTAATTTAATTTAGCCTTTGTTTTGAAGATATTTTTACTGAGTGTAGAATTTTAGGTTGCACGCTTTCTTTCTAAGTTTGCTTCGTGTATTAAGTTTTAGAAGATTTGACCCCTTCAGTTGTATCTGCAGAATTAAGTGTCATCTTCAGGGTTAGTACCCAATTGTAGGCTTCAGTTAAGAACTTGGTGAAGAACTAAAGAGCTAAATTCATGGTGAATACTGGAATATGGCATTCTTGGCAGCCCATTTTACTTTCAGAATTCTCTTAAGTGCAGGACTTTGTTTTTGGGCTGCAGCTTTAAGGACATGATGCATCATGGCCTAACACAATACAGTGGTCCATAAATCAAGCTGCAGTCTAGCTCTGTGAAATTAACGTACAACATCAGAAAACGTTTCAGTGCTATCAGTTTTTCCATAGTAGTGATGGTTTCCTGCAAGTGCATTTAGCCTAACTTCATCAAGATAGAAATTTTAGTATTGGAATCATATTGATGGCTTCAAAACTGAGAATTTTGTACTCTATTGTTTTGTGCACAATGTTAAAAATAGATTTTTACTTTCAAAGTAAACCTATAGTTTAAAGCAGTTAGCATAACCAGGTATTTCCTGTTGGCTGTGGTGGTATTTTATCTGTGTTGTTTCATTATTCAAAGGATGTTGTTTGAATAATACAGATACACATTATGGCTAGATAGATATGGTAATGAGTTTACATAAATTGTCAAATATATAAATATTAATAGCTGAATCTAAAACAATTTGATGTGAACACTATTGAACCTTACTAAAAGACCTTGTCCTTGTGCTTCTTGCTTTATGTAAATGAGCATTTTCTGGAGCTGCTTCCTGGTTATATCTGTACTTTCAACATCTTTCTATTAAATTGGCATAACTTTTATCTTCCAGTCTCAGAATTAAATTGAGACCAAATAAAAGCAAGTTCTTCAGGCTTTTAATTTAAAATTAAAATGTTTCCTTCTAAGTCTGTTTCCCACGGCTCAGAAGTAGGCCTCCCACCAACACAGGGCAGCTATGCAACCCGGCTCCCCAAGCAGACCAGGGTCCTGATTCTCCGCGCGAGAAGCAGCATGGACTCTCTGCATGCATGGGATTCTTGAGTCTCAGTGCATGCACTCTGAGTACCTGTGACTCTAATTCTTGGCGTATGCACACACAGGGACCCTGATACATGGTGTGAGGTCACACCAAGCAACAGAGATTCCGATTCTCAATTCTTGGTGTGTGCACTTGGGGTCTCTGACTCCTGGCGTGTGTTAGGGGACTCTAATTTTGGGCATATGCCCATGGGGACATTTTTTCAGCATGGCAAATGCAGTGTACCTGATTCGAGGTGCATGCACGAGGCTGCACTGTGTGGTGGTGATTCTGACTTTTGTTGTGCATGGCTCCCACCAGCCCATGGCAGCCACATGTCTTGGTGTCAGAGCTCTTAAGTGACACTCAGGTGGCACAACGCTCCCACTACACATGGCCTAGTCCCCCGCAACTCTGTGTTTGGACCTTCTGGTAATAGAATGGGGAGAAAAAGAAACAATCTCCAGAGGAAAGAAAAAGGAATCACCAAGAAAGGAAATAAGTGAAACCGAGGCATGCAATATGACAGAAAAATAATTCAGAGTGATGGTCATACAATTCATAAGCCAGACGGATGAGAAAATTAACCTATACAAAACCTGGAAGAAATCAAAAGTACCATAGCTACAATCAAAAAAGCTATGGAAGGTTTCAACAGTAGACTAGAAAAGTGGAGGACCAAATTAGTGAGTTAGAAGATAAGGTCAAGAAACAAACTGCATTCAAGTTTTGCAATTGTCACAATGATGTCTTTGATAGCATATATTCCCATAATGTCTCTATTCTCTTCTGAAATAGTTCTTCAGTCTTTTCTTAACTTTTGTGAACTTCTTGGCACTTTTGGAGTTAACAGCCAGTTATTTTGTAGAATGTGCCTTGATTTGATTTTTTGTATGTCCTATGATTCAAATTATGCACTGTTAGAAGAATAGCACATAATGATGTTTATTGCACCCTGTCACATGCCATACAATATCAGTTTGACCCATTACAAATGATGACTCCTTTGACTGCTTTATTGAGGTATTCATGGTCTGCTGGACTTCATTACTTAAGTTACTCCTTTAGCTTTGTAATTAATATTTTGTTGGAAAGTGTTTACAACTATGTAACTATTCCATCTCCTGACAGTATTTATTTATTCATTAAATTTGTGTTTGTATTAATTTATAGTTTTCCGTTTTACTTACTGGTAATGGGTTTATTCTGTTACTACTATTAAGTATTTTTGATGTCCAATTGTCCCATTTTTGGACATATTCCTTGATAAAATACTTTTGAGCATTTTTTGCTTTCTGGCACAAGATGAAGTTCCATGCTCATCTTGTACTTTCCTGCCCCAAACCTGAACTAGTCATTTCTTCCAGGAACTTTGGTTCTTTTTAGAGGAAAATAGTTTTCAGAAGCCAAGATCTGAGTGATTAGTGTATTTATTGCTATTAGGTGTTGTTGTTCCCAGACCCTCTCAGTGATGCACACCAATTTACCTCTATATTTATTTATATCTTTAAGTATTTTGAAAAATCAGAAATTCATATTAATTCCAATCTAATTATCACAGGATTCTAGATTTTTAAAATTTATTTTAATGCCACTCTCTTACACTGATAAACTGGTTTCAGTTCTTAATACATTTATTGAATGATCAGTCCTCCTTCGTGTTACCAATCTTCCATCTCTGTCACTCCCGCCTCCTCTGCATGGATGCCCTGCTTTCTTTCTTGGGCTCTCACTCCCCATTCTAGACTTTCTCCCACTTTCCCTCTCCCAGTGTGAGAATACCATTTTATGATACCTCTCCCAATGGAGGATACTTCAACTTGGGGTCTCAAATGAATTTTCATAATGACCACATTACACTATCTCAGTCTTATTTTTCTAATATATATATATATATAATGCAACATTGAGTTTTCTAAAATAATGGTCCTACTTGTAGGAAAGCACCAACTAAAAATAATCTAAGGAATTGAACATTATAGCTGAAAAATACCATTTTCTAGGGTCACTCTGGGTCAGTAGTTTGTATTCTGCAAATTATTACAGAACTGGAATTATTCCTTTGACAAGAAATTGGGGTTTAATAGGTTGTACTGAAGTCTCATTAAGGATTGAAAAGAAAAACGAGTTTTACTGAGCACGTTTATTGTTATTCAGAGGATGTAGAATGAAGTAGGTTCCTGGGTGGGCAAGAGGGCTTAGAAGGGATAGAAAAATAGAATCTTCTCAGAAGAGACTAATTGCCATGCCTAACCATTGGCAAGATATTATGCATTCAGCAAGCAGATTGGGGTGGAGATTGTTTTGGGGCAGACTAGATGCAGAGACTCCTCCTTGGAAGGCTGAAGGAGCAGTGAGACAGGATAAGTAGGACGCATGAAGCTGGCTGTTAATACAGGGGTAGGGAGAAAGTTAACTATACCAGGATTTGGTCTGTGCTGTTCCACAGGGAAAAGAAGCAGAAAGAATGGCTAGCAGGTACTGAGAGGGAGATTTTAAATATCTTAACAGTGAGAATGGGAAAAGAAGTGAGTAAGGTGACTGTTCTAGAGCACGCTGATTTCGAGGATCACACTGTCTCGTTTTTTTCTCTCATTAAACCAAACTGATAAGAGAACTTATTTTAAAGGTTTTTGAAACAGCTCAGACTATATCCAGTAACCTTTATCTTCATTACTTATTTTCTTTAAAAAATTTTTGCCTATGGTATTCTTTCCTTTTATAAAATTCATATGTAGGTAAATCTGGGAGTAACATTTCATGTTATGAAAGTAGTCTTGCTTTTTAAGGTAGTCTTAACAGGTTACTCTAACTAGTATCCCTAAAGTTTCTCATCAACCTTAAGTTATCCAAGCCATTAATTGAAGTTCAATTAGAAAGAAAACTATGTTAATAGGGAAATAGTTTCTATGTACAAAAAAAATAATTTTTGATTGCTTATTGGAAGAAGTAAGGCAATATAATTGTCCCAAGAAATTAGCCCGTTAGCCATGAACTAGTGTTGAGCTATCTTCTCACATTTCCATCTGCTTCGTTCTAAGCTGCCTCAGTTTCTTTGCTTGTACTATAGCAGCAAGAAAATTTGTTTTTTTTGAAGTTACTATAAGTAATGAAGAGAAATAATTGTTTCACTTAAGTTCATTCTCTGAATTAGGAAAGTGGTTCTTAACAAACAATGTGAAGTAGACTGATTTGCCCTTTTCATAAATAGGGTTTCACCCAAAGCAACCTGTCTCTGTGCACAGCTCAGTTTAATCCACAACTGAGATAAATAGGCTATAGGGAGATCAGTGTGGTGGAAAGGTTCACTAAAACATTTCATTAAATATAAAAACACTTTTAGTTGTAATGCAGGAACTTGGAGAATTTGATGGACATTATTCTAATTTGAGAAGTGCTTTTACTAGTATTCTTGTAAATGTTGAAAAACAAAGGAGAAAGAATACTGTTAATGGGGACAGATAGTGATCTGAATTAGCTGATGTCTCTTATATTTGAACTATGTTTATTGTACATTTAAAAAAAAGTGTTATTAAGGTATGTTTGACATATGTATATATCTGTGAAACCCTCCTTCCTCACTTCCCTCCCCTCTCCTCCGCTCCCCTACCCCTTCCCCTCTTCTCTCTTCTTCCTTCCCTTCACTCTCTAAAAATCAATGGGAAAAATATCCTTGGGTGAGGATAAGCAAAGAAAAAAAAAAAAAGAATGTTGGATTTTATAAAATGCTTTTTCTGTGTCTATTGAGATGATCATATGGCTTTTCTCTTTATTTGTTAACCTAGTGAATTGATTATACTAATTGCTTTTCAGATGCTGAACTAGTCCTGCATTTTTTAGATAAGCCCCAGTTCATGATGCATTATCCTTTTAATATTATAATGTGGATTCAATTTGATAAAATTGTATTAAGAATTTTTACATCTATATTTATCATGAGTATTAGTCTGTAGTTTTCTTATCTTACAATGTTTGGCTGGTTTTCTTATCACAGTAAATTCTGACCTCATGGAATGAGATTAATCTGTATCCTCTCCACTTTAGTTGTCTGTAAGAATTGTTGTAATGTATTATTTCTTCCTTAAATGTTTGGGAGAGTTCATCAATGGAGCCATCTATGTCTGGAGTTTTCTTTGTGGGAGGGTGACTACTTTTAATAAAGATAAAGGGCTATTCAGATTAACTTTTTGGGTGAGCTTTGGTGGCTTGTCTTGTCAGTAATTTTGTTCATTTTATTATATGTTACTTGTCATATTTATAGTCTAGAGTAGTTCGCAATATTCTCTGTGTGTTGTTTTTTTAATATATCTAAAACTGTAGGGACGACACTTCTTTCTTACACAGGTAATTGGTATCTTCTCTTGCTCTCTCTCTTTTTTCCTAATCAGTCTGGCTAGACATTTGTTGTTGTTGTTGTTTGTTTTGATCAGTTTTATTGATTGTCTCAAAGAACCAACCAACTTTTGGTTTCATTTCTTATCTCTCTTGTTTTCCATTTAAAAAAGTTTTCAGTGTGATTTTTATCATTTCCTTCTTTCTGCAGACTGAGTTTAATTTGTTCTTCAGGTTCTAGTTTCTTAAGGTGGAAGAAAAAGGAGGAAGGATACTATTAATAGATACAGCTGGGTTTATTGATTTAAGATATTTTCTATTAAGATGTTTAATGTTATAAATTTCCACCTAAGTACTGTTTTATTAGTAGTAGCCTACAAATTCGGCCATGTTGTTCTTAAAATGTCCTTATCTGCTAAATCTAACATCTGTGTTAGTTCTGGGTTGGTTGCTAGCTTAGTCCTTTCAGGTTGCTATGTAACAAAATACCACAGACTGGATGGATGGCTTATAAGCAACAGAAACTTATTTCTTACAGTTCTGGAGGCTGGGAAGTCCAAGATCAGGATGCACATATGGTTGAGTAAGGTCTCTTTTCCAGATCTTAGACTTTGCATTGTATGTTTTCTCACATGATGGAAGGGCTTAGCACTAATACAAATTATGAAGGCTCCACCTTCATGACCTAACCCTTCCAAAGGTACTTCCTCTAATACCACCCTCACCTTTGGAGGTTGGGATTTCAGCATAGGAATTTGGGGTGGGAGACAAACATTCAGACCCATAGCATTTGTGAATAATTGATTTTTATTCTTATTATGGATTGTATTTTCCACTTCTTTCTGTGCCTGGTAATTTTTGTTTGGATGCCAAAATATTGTGAGTTTTATCTTTTTGCATGCTGGATATTTTTATCTTCCTACAGATTTTTTTGAGCTTTGTTCTAGGATGCAATTAACTTACTTGGTAGTAATTAGGTCTTTTGGAGTTGTGTTTCTATGATTTTTTTTTTTTTTTAATGTATGGATCTGGAGTGGTCAGTCTATGGTTAATGATTCTTTAGTTACGAGGCAAGATCTTCTTGAGTATTTTACCTATTGCCCCTGACTTACGAGTTTTCTGGATCTGACCTTTGGGAAAAGGATTATTCCCAGCCTGTGTGCATGACAGATACTATTACCCCTGATCCTTTTGGATGATTCTTTCCCTGGCTTTGAATAGTTATTTAAATATGCATGTGCTTATTCTGCCCTATGAACTCTAGCTGAGTTGGACTTAGGAGACTTTCAGCTCAGGGGACCTGCCAGGCAGGTCCAGCTATAAAATTTGCAGGGCTCATATAAAATGAAAGTGTGACCCTTTGTAAAAATTATTTAGAATTTCAAGATGGCAACTTCAGAGCATTAAATAAAACACAGGTCCCTTTTGAGCTGTAGTTCAGATTGCGTGCTCAGAAGTCAGTGCCTACTGCAGTTTCACCTCACTTTCCCTTACCTGTTCCATGGCTTGGAAACTCTCTTCAAGGCAGTAAGCTGAGACAGCCATAGGGCTTGTCTCCTTTAGGTACCATGTCTCAGGATTCACTGTCTTTTCTTTTTTCTTATTTTGGCAAATGGTCATAGTATTGAAAACTGTTGTCTCATATATATTTTTTTTCTGTTTTTTAAATTTTTGTTATTTTTTCAGGTAGGAGGATAAATTCAGTTCCTATTAGTCTTATCTTAACTTGAATAGTTATTTTTAAGTGTAAAGATCTGATAGCTTCTTCTTTTTTTGTTGTTGTTTAAGGATTTGGTAGCTTTTGTGTCAAATTAAGCTTCCCCTATTTGGTCTTTTGGCTTGACACCTTGTTTGGATAGCTGTTTGGGGTAAAATTTGTCTTGTGTCAATTGCTGATATGTTTTCCACTCTCAATGCCTTGGCTAGATGATCTTGAAGTGGAAGCAAATTTTCTGGTAACTATCAACTCATTTTTTGAATTGGACCACTTGATTTCAAGCAAACGTTAACTTCCTGCTTGAAATCACTCTGCCCTTATTCTTTTCCAGGTTGCATTTAAATGCAAGCTGCAGATGGGTGAGGAAATTCCTCTTTTCTCCCATCTCCTGAAAAATACACTGTACCCTTGCGGTGCAATTGGATTGGCATTTGTACAGTAAGGTATTAACAGCCTTTCAGATATGCCCTGCCCTGTTAGCAACAATATACAGTGATACAAAAATGAATTTGTCAAGAGTTTTATGGCTCTATGATCTATTGTACAATATTAATCCTGCTGCAGTGTTATTAAGTCATTTTTCATGTCCCCTCAAATTAATGTTGACATTCTATTACTAGATTTTTTTTCTTGTCCCCAGATTAAAACATAAAGGAAAAAAAGTCTTTCCTGCTACAATATTAAAATTAATTATAGGGTAAGCAGTACCTTGCTTGGTGAAGTAGAATTTTTACTTGAACATTTTTAAATGAATTCATTTTTCTGCTTTCTGCTTGTTTTTGTGCACAAAAAACACAATTAGAACATATAGTACTTCTAAGGGCACAAGGAGAATATAGCAAGGGGAAGGGGTAAATTAAAATACATAAGATTTTCCAGACAGAAAATTCAGAAAAGCCGGGGCCTGAGATTGGGAGAACCGCACCTATTTAGTGCTTCTATTGGGTCGGCAACTAAGTACTTGCGGATTTTTTAAAGAAAATCAAAGACAATTTTTTCATGGAACTAAATAACTTTATTCTGTAATGTATTGCCCATTTTGATCAATGACCTTTTACCATCTTTCAGGCAGCATCATAATCCCACGTTCAAAAAACTTCTGGTTTTTATTAGCAAAAAACTGAATCAGGTACGATTTGACATCATCATCATTATTGAAATTTTTACCATTCAAGGAGTTTTGTAAAGATCGAAACAAAAAGTAATCAGATGGTGCAAGGTCAGGACTATATGGTGGATGTGGCAAAACATCCCAACCAAGCTCCATTAATTTTTGCCGAGTGACCAAAGATGTGTGTGGCCTTGCATTGTCATGATGGAATACAACACCTTTTCGATTTGTCAATTCGGGCCGTTTTTCTTCAACTGCATTGTTTAATTTCGTTAGTTGTTCAATGTAGACATCAGAATTGATCGTTCGGTTGGGTGGTAAGAGTTCAAAGTAGACAATTCCTTTGTAATCCCACCAAACTGATAACAAAACCTTCTTTTGATGAATATCAGCTTTTGATGTTGTTTGAGTTGGTTCACCTGGCCTGCTCCACGATCTTTTCCACTTGATATTGTTGTAAACAACCCATTTTTCATTGCCAGTTATCAGTCGTTTTAAAAATGGATCATTTTCATTACGTTTCTTTAGCAAATCGCAGCTGCTAATGCGTTGCGTTAACTGTGATTCTTTCAGTTCGTGAGGAACCCATGTATCGAGTTTTTGAACATAGCCAAGTTGTTTTAAGTGATTTTCAATGCATGTATGTGATACATGAAGCTTCTCTGCAATCTCATGTGTTGTACTGTGACAGTCCGAATTGATTATTGCTTTGATTAGGGTGTCATCAACTTCAACTGGACGACCAGAGCGTTTTTCATCTTTGAGTGAAAAATCACCAGAACGAAATTTGGCAAACCAATTTTGACACTGCCGTTCTTTTAAGGCTTCGTCACCATAAACAGCACATAACTTTTTATGAGCTTGCGATGCGTTTTTCCCTTGTGGAAATAAAAAAGCAAAATATGACGAAAATGTTCCTTTTGATTTTCCATTTTTCAACGAACGCCAAATGAAAACTACAAAACAGATCAAAAAACTTTTTTCACTGATTAACAGCTGAATAGCCAACTACCAAATAACAAAATGTGTTTTACATTTGTACTACGTCTGCAAACCTAAAAATTCAACTAAAGCCATATGTGTGTGAAACCCGCAATTACTTAGCTGCCAACCCAATAGCATAAAGGGGGGAAGAAATGCTGATGTATTTTATATATATTATACACACACACACACACACACACACACACACAAGAATTTGGGCTGATTTTGGATCATATTATGTTATGTTAATGGGAATGAAATGTTTCTTCTAGTCCAAGAATTTAGGGCCATTTAAAAATCACATGGTGAGGTCAACATTTACAGAGTAGTGTCATAATCAGTACTCAGGAATAATTTTGTTCCAGAACTAAGACAAATGATGCTTTTCTGTGAATGCTTTCTTTCACATTTTTTATTTATTTGTTGATTTTAGAAGAAGGGGAGATTGATTGATTCATTGTTCCACTTATTTATGCATTTATTGGTTGCTTCTTGTATGTGCCTTGACTGGGGAGATTGAGTTTGCACCATTGGCATACTGGGACAATCCTTTAACTCGTTGTGCTAATTGACCAGGTCTACTTTTTAAAAATTTTAATTTTAAGAACATCATTTTCAACCATATGGGAGTAGTTATAAGTCTCATATCTGTGACCTCTGTAATGGTATTTACAAAGGTATTTTGGTGATTTCCGTTAATGGTTAGATAGGTAATCTGGAATGCTAATTGTTACCGTGGGAGGGATTCTACTTATTATTTAAGGGGGATTCTACTAATTATTTAAGCCAAGATGTAAATTTTAACTTAAAGTATGTATATTTTTTAATGAAATAAGGAAGCTGAAATGTAGTTATAATGTGTCACTATATAAAATATAACATGAGTAATTAAAACATTTTTTGTAGAAAACCAACATTAGTTATAAAAATTTAGCCAATTATATACATTTTTGTTACTTTAAATTATATAAATAATGTAGCAACCTTCAAGAAAGTGAGAGTTGGGGGTAGGCTGAGGAAAATTGATGTTGTATCTCTGGTAGGTTGGAAAATAATCACCATTTATCACATGGATACACTTGATACTCAGATTTTATTGTCATTTTCATGAATAATACTCGAGGCCCGGTGCACGAAATTCGTGCACGAGGATGAGTATGGCCCTCAGCCCAGCCTGCACCCTCTCCAATCTGGGACCCCTCAAGGGATGTCTGACTGCCCATTTAGGTCCAATCCCCGTAGGCTTAGGCTTAAACGGGCAGTTGGACATCCCTTTCACAATCCAGGACTGCCAGCTCCCAACTGCTTGCCTACCTGCCTTCTTGATTGTCCGTAACCGCTTTTGCCTGCCAGCCTGATCACCCCCTAACTATTCCCCTACCAATCTGATAGATGCCTAACTGCTCCCCTGCCAGCCTGTTTGTCCCTAACTGCCCTCTCCTGCAGGCCTGTTCACCCCTTACTGCCCTCCCCTGCAGGCCTTGTCCCCCCAACTGCTCTCTGCAGACCTGGGTCCCTTCCAACTGCCCTTCCCTCCAGGCCCAGTTGCCTCCAACTTCTCTCTTCTGCCAGCCTGGCCACCCCTAACTGCTCTCCCCTACAGGCTTGATTGCCCCCAATTGCCCTCCCTTGCAGGCCTGGTGCCTCCCAACTGCCCTTCCCAGCTAGCCATCTTATGGCGGTCATCTTTTGTCCACCTGGGGGCAGCCATCTTGTGTGTTGGAGTGATGGTCAATTTGCATGTTACTCTTTTATTAGATAGATACAGAAGTAAGAGTAAAAGATAGTGACAAACCTTTAGGAATTTTAATTAGAATTTAACTGTAGCAAACCTCTGTATCAAGTAGATTTTGGCATCCAAACATCATAAAAGATGAATGAATACTGTCACATGTATATTTAGTAGAATGAGGTGGTCTATATTCTTATTACAAAATATTGTGTGACAGTATTTTTCCTGATAAATGACCACCTGGTGAAAATAAAATATTTTCTTTTTATCTCTAAAAATATAAGAATATGGAGTGCTGCTTTCTGTCTCTGCATTCATCTGATTATCTAATTGTGAATCATCTTCTGTTAATTTTCTTCTGTTTGCTATCAGAGGCAGAAAATGAAAAGCTCTGAATTCTCAACTATATTCATTGAAAGCTAAAAGCAGGCTACAGAGATGGTGTTTCCAGTCTTCTTTAATTCCTCTCTTAAACATGATGCAAATATTTTGGACAATTGTTGTAGTAAGTTTCCTTCTTGACCCTGCTTGCTGCAGCAATTGTGGAGTATTCACTCCTTCATCCTGCTCACTATGCTAACTGTTGGGGATGCATACTCTGCCGGGGGCTGGACCTCCTGGGTATGGGAAGAAGACACAAGAAGCGTAGGTGTATAAGAGAGTCTTTATTGTAGTTTAAGTAGCCATTCCTACTAAATAGCAAGCAGACACAGTAGTAAATACAAGGTAGTCCTTGCTAATGTAGCAGCCACTGGCTGGTCTTTTATACACCTTCCCTACAATGCAGCTTGACACTGGCTGATCAGTAACATACTTTATACTAACTTAGATAAAAGAGGGTTTTTGCTGAAATAGTGACATCAGTTTTTTCTTTTTTTTTTTTCTTTTTACACAGCTGCGTAGTGTATACAGTAAAACTGCTGTGTTCTTATACCTGCCTATGGCAAGTTGGCCTTGAACATCTAGCATACTCTGGATAGGGTTCCCACAACAATGCAATGAGAAACCTGAAGGATATGGTTTATTTCACTGTTATATCATCTTTCAATGTAGGCATTTCCATAATTTTCCCTTTCCCTTATTATTATAGTATTTTAAAAGTATAGTCGGATATAATTCTATATAATAAAAGGCTATTATGCAAATTGACCGAACAGTGGAATGACTGGTGGCTATGATACGCACTGACCACCAGGAGGCAGATGCTCAATACCGGAGAGGGTCTAAGCTGTCAGTTGGATATCCCCCAAGGGTTCCTGGACTATGAGAGGGTGCAGGCCGGGCTGAGGGAACCCCCCACCTCCGAGTGTACAAATTTTGTGCACCAGTCCTCTAGTTGATGAATAATGATGCATAATGATAAATTAACTCTCAGGATGATGAAACGGCAGAATGTTTCAAGATATAGAAAAATAAGATGCCTAAACTTCCATAATGTGTTTTAGATTTATAAATTGGGTCCAATTGCAAGATAAAACATGAAATTTCTTCCAGTGACTCTTAAGAAAGAATAAAGGTCAATAAATATAAATTTTTAGAATTAGCTAGAACTGTTGGAAAATAAACAAAATTAAATTGGTTTCATTGAATTAAGGAGGGTTAAGAGCCTTTAAAGTAAAGCAACTTAGCTCTCCCATTGTATTTATGAGAAGCAGAAGTGGATTATCAGTAGCTGAACCATGGGTTGGAATGGAGTATCAGATATACTCAATCTTAGCTTCCACATCCCCCCAGCTTGTTGTTAAAACAAACTAAACATTTGAACGTCAATCATTCTCTTATGGGCTCTTCTTTAGTTGATGGTTGGGTGTAGAGGTCTCACTTAGTGACAGCCTTTAAGTTGTATTTGATTATTTAACTTGAAAAAGCATTATCATTCCTGATACACTTCTTATGGTGAGTTGGCAGAAACTTTGAGTTAAAGGGTGATTTGCTTAAAACTTCTTTAAAAGCTCAGTGGGTTTACCAGATCCCAGCATCCAGGTGTTCAGAATGACTCCAGTCTATGAGAGAGAGCTGCTTTTCCAGAGGTTAAGAGGGTTAAGAGCTTTTAAAGTGAATGTTTAAGGCATCTAAGACAGTGAGCCAGTTGAGTTGCTGTTAGCATTATCCCCTCTTTGAGAATATAAAAGCCTAGGACTTGGTCTGTTATGTGTTCATGGGGCTGCTGCAACAGTTAGCTGTACTTTTCTTTTTAACATATTCTCAGCAAGTTGAATATGAAAATTGTCTGAAACGTTTAAAGAGATGTTTCATTTGCAATTTTTCAATTGAATAAAACTTTAGTTTTATTTTCCCCAGCTTCTTTTATTTTAGTAAATAAAGATCTGTAAGCCAGACAAAAAGTATTTATTGAGCACCAGTTGTAGGTGAAGCACTGGAGAAATGTGATACTCAAGGGAATCCTTTTGTAAAATAAAAATTTGTCAGAACACCAATTCAGTTTAACAGACAGTTATATATTAAAAATTAAGTAGAGCCAGGAATAGGGAAGTGGTAGTTGGAAAATACATGAACATAACAATCCTGTTACCTCCCTCCCAATCTTAGAATTTATTCTAATAATTTAATATTCAAAGTAAAATCATCAGGTAAGTTTAGGTTGGTGTTACCACTTAAGTTGTTTGTGTGTGTGTGTGGGGGGGGGGCGGGGGGAAGAGGAGGGAACAGGGAACAGATGAAAAAGAATTAAGATATAGGAGAGTGATTCAACAGGACAGGAGAGGCAGATCTCTGAAATTGTGAAGCTATGTGGAATTTGCTTTATATTCTTCTAGTCTCTCTTAATACCTGAATTACCTTGTAATCTCAGATGTATCTGTTCATCTAACAAGACTTTATTGAGTCCCTACTATGCTAAAGGCATTGTGCTGATATATGTAGACTGAATTTCTAACCAACTCTTCCAGGGGTATTTTGATTTTAACAGGAAACAAAAAAGTACAGATTGACTGAAGATGTTTTTGATTTGGCCTGTAATCTTTTAAAAATAGGGTGGATTTCACAAAAATTTTGAGTGTTTGGCTTATCCTTAAAAATGTAGTAGTCTTCTTTTCTCTTTTAATTTCTGTGTGACAGAGTTCTGGTCAAGGTGGTGGTGTAGGTAAAGGCATTATCTGTAACCTCCCACAGCCTCATCAAAATTACAACTAAATTACCGAATGACCATCATTCATAACTACCTGAAATCTAGCCAAAAAGAAGTTCTAAAACTAAGGATATAGTAGTATAGAAGAAGCCGCATCGAGACTGGTAGGAGTGGAGATGTAGAATGGGCTGGTCCCACACTCGTATGTAGTGGTTAAAATCAAGAAAGAATGCTGAGTGAAATAAGCCAATCAATGAAAGAGAAACACCACATGACCCCACTCATTTGTGGTTAATAAAGATCATTATAAACTGATGAACCAAAAGATAGATATAGAGACAGTAAAGCAACAAGCAGATTGTCAAATTACAGCGGGGAGGGGAGGAGGATCTGGGGAAGATAATAGATCAACCGAAGGACTTGCATACATGCATATAAGTACAACCAATGGACATAAAACTCTGGGGAGGGAGGTGATGTGTGGGAGGGAAGGAGGGGGGTAAAAAAAAACACAATAAAATATGTAAAAATAAATAAATAAATAAATAAATAAATAAAATTAATTAATTAATGATTAAAAAAAATCAAGAAAGATATCTCAGCTACAGAGGTCCCCTCCAGGATTAAGGGGTCCCAGCCCCAATAAGAAACCCCCCCACCCCCACCCCTGGCCTAGGGTTCTGGTGCTGGGAAGACAAGTTCCCATAAATTCTGACTGAAAATCAGCAGGGAGTATTGCTGAGTGAGATGGAGAGCTCTGGAGTCTCAGGTAGTTCCTCTTAAAGGGCCTGCACATGGACTTACTCTGACACTCACTCTGAACTCCAGTTCTGTTTTAGGAGCTTGAAAGTTGCCAAGGATGCCAGAAGAAGAACTGAATTGTTTGATTTCAAGGCAAAAACTGGAGGGGCATCATGCTTCCAGATAGAAGTGCTGGCAGAGGGCATTGCTACTTTGCTGAGCCCTCCCCTTCAGAGTCCATAGGCAGGCGCCATATCTTAGTCTAAATCAATCTGGCTAACACTGGTGATTTTCCTGAGATCCTGCCCACCCAACTGGCAGGCCTGCCCAAGCCATTTCTAGTGGATTTTCCATACAAATGACTGATCTTGATTCATGCATGCCCATACCTCATGTTAAATCACCCCAGGCTCAGCACTAGCAGCTGCTGGCCTTGATTCACAGTTTGGCTTCTCCTGGGCACCTCTAAGCCCAGCACAAGTAGCAGCCATCTGCAGAATGCTCTCTAGGTTGTGCCAGGTAGCTCCCAGGCAGGGCATAGGCATTGGCTGATCTTGTACTTCTGGGAGGCCTCAGAGCCAGAGTATTCAGTGTACAGCTTCAGACCACATCCTACCACCTCAATTCCTTGAGTTACACGCTCAAGGAATAGACTTGTTGGGCATCAAATACCCACTGAAGCAAATCCTGCTCAGTAGCTCCTCACTATGGTTACACCCAGTCCTCACAGCCAGTCAGCCTGTGGGGGTAGGTGGGGGGAATTTCCTCTCCGTTACATGCCAATAGCAATCAAGGCTCAAATACAACGTGACATTGCACATAGCCTACTACAGGAGTTAGGGGGGGCTGTGTACCTGCAGTGCCCAGCTCAGGTGACTGGGGAGGAGGGGCTACACCACTGGGCCTTAAAGGACACCTCTACATAAGGCCACTGTACCAAGATTGGGAGATGGGGCTTCATTACCTAATAGACAGAAATGAACACAGGGTAGCAACTAAAATGAAGAGACAAAGAACAGGCCCAAATGAAAAAATTGGAGAAATCCCCAGTAAAAAAACTGAATGATATGGAGGCAAGCAAATTACCAGATACATATTTCAAAATTGGTTATAAGGATGCTCAAAAAGTTAGAACCTCACAGCATATAAAAGGACATGGAAACTATAAAAAACAACAACAGTCAGAAGTGAGGAATAACACTAACTGAAATGAAGAATAAAGTACAGGCAATCAACAATAGATTAGATGAAGTAGAAAATCACATCAGCTATTTGGAATATAAGGAAGCAGAAACCACCCAATCAGATCAGCAAAAAGAAAAAAAGACTCCAAAAAATGAGGTTATATAAGGAGCCTCTTGGACAACTTCAAGAACCAACATTCACATCATTGGGGTGCTAGAAGGAGAAGAGAGAAAGAGCAAGAAATTGAAAACCTACTTGAAAAAATGGTGCAAAACTTTCCTAATCCAGTGAAGGAAATAGACATATAAGTTTAGGAATCCCAGAAAGTCCCAAACAAGTTAAACCCAAAGAGGTCCACAATAAGACACATCATACAAAGAGAGAATCTTAAAAGCAGCAAGAAAAAAGCAATTAGTTACTTACAAGGGAGCTCCCATAAACTGTCATTTGATTTCCCAGCAGAAACTTTGCAGACCAGTGGGACTGGCAAGAAACATTCAAAGGGATAAAAAGCAAGGACCTACAACAAAGATTATCCTACCCAGCAATGCTATCATTTAAAAATCAAAGGACTGATAAAGAACTTTCTGGACAAGAACAAACTAACGGACTTCACCACCACTAAACCAGTAAAATATGAAACATTAAAGGTTCTTTAAGAAGAAGGAAAAAAGTCCTGGCTGGTGTGGTTCAGTGGTTAGTGTGTCAGTGGGTTCAATTCCCAGTCAAGGGCGTATACCTGGATTGAAGGTTTGATCCCTGTACCGGTCAGGACACATGGGAGAGGCAACCAATGGATGTGTCTCTCTCTTCCCTTCTCCCTCCCTCCCTTCCACTTTCTCTAAACATCAATTGAAAAATATCCTGGAGTGAGGATTAACAACAAAAAAGATGAAAAATATGAATAATAAATGGCCAAAGAAAAGAGTGAAATCTGTAGTCTTTTAAAGCATGCAAGGTATTTCAGCCCCTGTAATAAACTTCCTTATTTCAGTTAAAAATTAAAATCTTATCATTTGAGACAGCATGGATGGACCTAGAGGATATTATGCTAATACCATATGATTTTATGTGTGAAAATTAAAGAACAAATAAAACAAACATACTCATAATATTGAGCCCTGGTTGGCAAACTGCGGCTTGCAAGCCACATACGGCTCTTTGGCCCCTTGAGTGTAGCTCTTCCACAAAATACCACTGGTTTAGTGGTGGGTGAAGTCCTTTAGCTTTTTCTTTGGCCCCTTGAGTGTGGCTCTTCCACAAAATGGTCTGGTTGAGTCTATTTTGAAGAAGTGGCATTAGAAGAATAAATTTAAAAAATTTGGTTCTCAAAAGAAATTTCAATCGTTGTACTGTTGATATTTGGCTCTGTTGATTAATGAGTTTGCCGACCACTGGCATAGAGAACAGACTAATGGTTGGCATAAGAGAGGGGTGTTGGGGGTGAAGGGGATGAGAATTGTAGATTGGTTACAAAATGGTCATGGGGATGTAAAGTACAGCCTAGCAGTCCTGGCCGGTGGTGTAGTTCAGTTGGTTGAATGTCATCCCATGCACCTAGAGGTCACAGGTTTGATTTCCGGTCCGGGCACATGCCTGGATTGTGGGTTTGATCCCCAGTAGTCAACCAGTAGATGCTTCTCTCTCATCAGAGTTCCTCTCCCTCTCCCTTCCCTTCTCTAAAATCAATAAAAACATTAAAACAGAACAAAACAACAAAAAAAAAACAACCCAAAACACAGCATAGGAAATTTAGTCAATAATGTTGTAATAACTATGTATGGTTTCTGTTGTGTATTGGGGGGGGAGACACAACTTTGTAAAGTATATGTTTGTCTAACCACACTGTGCTGTACACCTGAGACTAATACAAAGTAATACTGACCGTAAACTTTAATTCAAAAAATTATTATTTTTTCATAAAAACAGTAAAAAAATACTTTGGGGTGCTAGAAGGAGAAGAGAGAAAGAGCAAGAAATTGAAAACCTACTTGAAAAAACCTACAGTTGATTACAGTTGACTATATATTGCCCCTTTAGATCGGCAGGCATTCTTGTGTTGGCCACAGTTCACCGCTCCTTGTTTTGCCTAGCCCACTTAGATATTGTAGTTTGTAACCCGTGCCCTTAAGTGACCTAGCTGTGATGAGATTCTACTGCCTAAGGGAGACTGTAAACAGATTTGGGAGTGGTGGCAGTGGTTTACTGTGGTAAGCTGCTACCAGAACCACCTGCACATAAGAAATACCATTCTTGGGAAGTGAAGAAGTATCGATAGTTCCATACTCAACATGTTATTAAGAAGCCTAAGTTTTTTTTTTCGTTTTTTTTTTTTTCTTAACTATGTCCATGAAAAGAATTTTTTAGGTTGTTTGCTAAATGTTCCAGACATTGGGAATATAAAGATGATTATCATATGATCTCATTCAGATAGCCTGTGATTTACCAATTTTAAAACTTCTGAATGTAGGTCAGTGAGTTAGCTCAGACCCAGTATTCAAGAATGTTTAGATTGGAGTGGGGTTTTATTTTGAATCAGATTATGGTACCCACCGACATAGCTTGAAATTTAACTCCAGTTCTGGGAGAGATTCAGAACAAAGGAGAGGGGTTTAAGTCTGTGCCCAGCATGAGAGATTCAAAGCATGAGAAATCCCATTCCTTAATAAGAAGAGTCAGAGCTTATAGGTGATGATGTTTAGAGGCATTAGTTTCTAGATTTAAAAAAAATGGTTTAGAGTTTTGAATTTGCTCTCAAAATTTTCCAGGGTAATATCTTATGTTCACTTAATCGGTCATTCTATTACTAAAAAGTTTACAATCAAATGGAAAGTTAGTAGAAAAAAACATGATTTTTCTTTTTAGATATTTAAAATATGGTCCTCTAATGTATTCTGAGAAAAATGAGAATAGCTATTACTCATGTGTGGTATTGGGACTGTAAACCTAAATCTGTAAAACCTAAAAAAATCAAAAGTATTCTCAAAGTAGTAATTGTCTGCTTTCAAAGAGTATTTCAAAGTTACCTGCTGAATTTTTGTAAATTCTAAACACTACTGTATAAAAATCCCTATGAACACTGTTGTCTTGATAAAGAACTTCTGAAACCATTTGCTTACTCTTTGTTTAATCAAGATTAAAAGGAGAGGAAAGAAGCAAGAGACACTCACTGGAAACTAGTGTGGATCTAATGACTCTAGGTTATGATTTGCTTAGTTCTCAACTGCTTTCTCTTTAAAAGGAAGTACCACAAGTTTACCTGCTATCTAAAAGTAGAGCATTCCTATGAAACTTTGTAAGTTATAATGGTGTAAAAGCAAAGAAACTATTACAATTAATTTTTATGGAAAAAATTTGGAATATTTCCAGATGCAAAAAATAACCTACCAAATCATGCCAGATAATACACAAAACCTAAAATAACATTAAATATAGTAAAAGCAGGAATTGTATGGTAAATACGCAGCCTGTGTAAAGTAGTAGTAATATATGTATAGTGTATGTAATGTATATTTCACTTATTAAAAAGACTGATTTCCTTGTAAGTGTAAAATAATGTAACACCACACTTTTGTATACCCATCAATACAATACTCAAGCGATAGACTTGTCTATTTTATCCATTACTGGATGCCCACTAGAAGAGATTATTTTGCTACTGGCAGAACCAAAAGTAACTTCCACAGCTTTTAAGATTAGTATGAATGGTGGGTGCAGGCAAGTTCAATGTACCCAGATATACATGCTTTGTTTTATTCGCTATGATCAAAAAGTGGGAGATACTTATATTACTGTTGGACATGCCTTCAAAATAAAAGATATCATTAAAATAATGTATTTTTATGGATTTAGTATTTTTCTGAGAAAAGTTCTGTGTTTCTAAAGCAAGCCTAGAACTGTTTTAATTACTTGCACATTCTTGCCCTTAGCGTGTTTTGAAAGTTGCTGATTGTTAAAGTCACTGGAGTTGGGAGAAAACATTATATGTTAGATTTTTTTGGTAAACATTTTTAATGCTGCATTAGAAATACAATATTAATTTTGCCAGCAGGTTGAAAAAATGAAGCAAAGTTCTATAGCAATATTATCTTTGCCCTCACACAGCTGCATTATTACCCCATTGGGCTGTGTGATTATTCTTTTTTTCCCTGATAATCGTAGAAGCACAGAGGATTCTTTCTATATCACTGGGTATGAACTTTAAAGCTGCTTTCCCAGTAAGCTGTGTAAATATGTGGTCTCAATATGTATCTCCAATTTGACCTTTATACTTTCTATTCCTGCCAGACTTTGTTCTTGCTGTGGTGTCTTGCTACATCTGTTGCAAACTCTTTTTCATTCCCCAACTCTTAGCCAGAAATGTTACTGTTATGAAATTTGTTTATTTTTCCCCATTCCTGATTTTTTGCATTATTTTCCTCCATGTAATTCAAGCTGTTCACATTCTCTAAGTACAGTTTCTAACTATAAGCTTACTGGCATTTTGTTTTGTTTTGCAAACTTCAAATATACTACTTCTAAATGCTTTTCTTAACTCCATTTGTCCTTTGAAGGTAGTCCACACTGTGAGATAAAATAAATATTTGATTTGTTATTTCTTTTAACAGTTCCTCTATTATTCTTGCTCACTTAAGGATGTGGTCGTTACTTAGATTGGTAGCTCTTTCCTCTTCTCCCTTTCTCCAATATTTACTGAATATGCTGTAGGTCAGAGACTTTTAGGCTCCAGAAATAAGAGCAATGTGAACCTTGCCTTCCTTTTAAGTGTCTAGGTTTTTATTCATTCCACAAATATTTAACTGAATACCTATCTAATGTACACTAGTCACTCTCCTACCACTAGGAATATAGTAGAAAATGAAACTGGCAGATGAAACTTCATTTTTCTTATATTCTTGCAGGAGGAGAGATAAATATTATATAAATATGTAATGTGTCAGAAGGTGATGAGTGTTATGGAATAAAAAGAGGATAAGAGGGTGCTAGGGAAGGGGTGTATAAACCTGCAGCCTCTTTATGTAGGGGAGGTTGGTTAATAGGTAAAGACCAAGCCATGTGGCATCTGGGAGAAACACTGTCCAGGCAGAGGTGACAAGTGTAAAGGTCCCGAGGCTAGAGAGTATTTAAGATGTGTTTCAGAAACAGCAAAGACACTGCTATTAGCTGGTGCAGAGAAAAAGACAAAGAGATGGAGTCAATAGTATTATAACAGAAGCTTCATAGCCACATGTGGCCAATAATAACAATTTCGATGTTATCAGTATAGCCAATACTCTTCTTCCCCCTGCCTTTTTGGCTACTTCCATTATGTCTAGCCTTGCTTCAGGTGCTGATTCTTGGTTTAATTAATTATAGACGTGGAAGTAAAGCTTGTTTTCTTTGATGCAGAAAGAATGACTATGGGCATAGCAGGATCCTAGAGCTGGATATATCGGTAGGCCTTTTTGTCTTTTAAGAGATTAGTCAGGAACAATAATGTGTTGTTTTCCTCAGAGTCAATTTCCACCCAGGATATTGTGCCACATTAGAACCCAATGTTCTGTGAAAGGTCTCTTATAAATTCTGCAGGTTTGAATATTTTTCACTGGAAAAGTGGCTCTGGAAACCTCTAGAGATGTTAAGGAATAGCCCTGATTCTTAAAAGCATGTATCATCATTGTTTTCTAGAACTTAGCTTCTTGATTCATGAGAGAGGCGTTTCCCTTCCATGTCTGTGGAGGGTTTCTTTTGTGAAAGAGGATTCCCTTAGGACTTGTGGTTAGTTTTTGATAGAGAAAATACACTTCTTCAAACACCCACTGTACCTTGCAAGGTTTTTGCTAGGATTTTTTAGTGTACTAGTATAATCGGTATATACTGATTATTGCAATGTTGTGATCTTGATTAGGG